CTAAAGAGAAGAATTCCCAAGTAGTACCTACCCAAATCTAAGCCTCCATCCTGTTTCTAGTGACTACCTTCCAATTAATCAAGTGATCCTTCTATCTCTCCAAGTTCTCATAGAAAGTTTCTCACAATCTTTTCAAGTCTCTTGGCCACAATAGATAGAATCCTAAACATTAAGAGGTGGTAAATGGGTAGATTGGAAAAAATGGATTTAATCAGAATGATTTTACCCCCCAAGGAAATGTAGTTTTTTCCACGCAGTCAAGATTTTAGAAAATCTGTCCAACATTGGGTTCCAAAAGGTCAGAATCTTAGAATTACCCCTAGCGGTAGGCACAAATACTTAACCAGCCACTAAAAGAAGAAAAACCCAATATATATGCACATCTCCTTACCACATCCTTATCCATGTCCAGTCCTGCCAAGCAACTTTTTCCCAAATGCACTGAAATTGGATATCCTCTCAAAGCATTGCACCAATAATTTTAAACATCTCACTCCTCTCTCCCCTTGGCAATTTCAAAATAACTTTAACATAGGTCAGCTATTCTAAAATATTCCAAGCAATTTCTAAATGGTTGTTGAGACTCAGAAAACTCTAAATTTTGAGAATAGAAAATGCCCAATTGGCCAAAAGGTTCAACCAAGATGGTTAGGGGATGTAAAGAAAAGAGTTTCATATAGCATTCAAACATTCTAATTTGTCAAATTTGCAAGCATAGGAATCAAACAATATGATCGAGATTTGCAAGGATTGAAGTACTACATGGATTTTTGTTTTTTTTTTTTTTGACAATTGAAAAGTAATACATGGATATTGATAAAGGAGTTGGAATCCAATCCACATCAGGAAATCTGACTCATCAAGATAAGGGGAAAAAGATTCTAGGACATATAGGTGAAAGTACTTTAGAAAAAGAATTGATTACTACCAAATACAGCATTATATGCCTATACCAAAACAAATGCGTTAAAATTTATCTGTCACCTTGGAACATCATATAGAAAAAGATGGAATTCATTGTGTATATTAAATGTCCATTTATATCAAACAACCAAGTTGAAAAAAAAAAGAAAACAATAAGTGTCCTTCAAGGATTGATGGAGTGATAGAATCTGAAATTTTCCCAATATAGACATTCTGCCCATTTGAGAGATTAGATGCAACATTCAATCGAACAAAGATAACAGTTCATAAATTCCCTTGCAAGAATTCAGCGAGTTCCAAATTTAAAAATCTTAGAATATCTTTCCAGTTGGAAATAAATCAGAAAACAAGATCAAGCTACAACGAAATAATTATACACCTAAACTTGATAACTGTACAACATGTCACATAAATGATTCGGTGCTCATAGAACTCTTGCATCTGCTCAAGAATTTCAAAATAGCTTTAAATGCATAAGTTCTGTAAAGTTGAAAACGTAGGTCAGCTACCCTAAAAAGTTTCCAAGTTTCAATCAGTTTCTGAGTGGTTTCAAGGGCTCAGAAAATTCTAAATTTCAAGAACAACAGAAAATGCTTTGTAAGTTAGTTGGGAGATGTCATTAAATACTCAATCAAAAAAAAGCTAAACTTTGACCTCATCAAGAGTGAACTGAAATGTCAACCTTGAATACATGACTATGGCTACAAAGAAAGTAGGAAATTAAGGAAAACAAATGAAGAAAATAAATTATTACCTGCCATCCATCAGGGTTCAGGTCCATCAAAGAAAATGACATTCCAGTCTCCAAGTCAGTGCTACTGACAGTACCATCTGAAGATGCTCCATATACAGTTTCATCATTTGTTGGGTTGAACCTGCATGGCCAACAGAAGTTGGGGTAACAGATTTGTTATAAAGGAAAAGAAAATACAAATATAACCATTGAATTAGGAAAGAGGAAGAATTAGCATAATCCTAATTACATAATATATGCTCACCTAATATTGTTAAGTATACAAGAGTGTATATTTCCATACACCGTCTTTTCATAGACTTTGCTATAATGCCAAACTCCAAGTTGTCCTTTCTTTCCAATTAAAAAGAAAAAACTGACAAATGTCAATGATCAAGTCTTCAAGAACAAAATGAATATCACCATGCAGCCAAAGTATGCAATGCCCACCTTATCTCCTGATAAGAGAATGTTATTGTTGGTTGGATGGAATTCCAAGCAAGTTATACGTCTACTATGATATCTAATGACTGCACAGTCCAGTTGATCTGGGATCACAAATGGTGGCTTGATCTATTACACAAACAGCAATGAATATGAGATTTGTCATCATTTCCAAAATAAATTTTAGAGGTATTCCAATGACCAAAAGAAAAGGAAAAGAATTCATGCTAAAATCAATTTCTACAAGAACCTGTTGTCAATGCCATACAGCCCCGAGTGCTATGAGCCATCAGGGCAGTAAACATTAGCAGAAGAAGCACAAAAGGGAGCATTGCTTGGTGAGATGGTAAAATCTCAGTCTGACAAGTGTGATAAGTAACACAAGTTCAAGTCTGAGACCAGACACTTCATGCAACAAAATGCAGGAGGTTAGTTCTGTATCAAGTCCAGTCCTCTCAAGGCCACACACAAAGAAAAAAAAAAGTCCAGTCCTCTCAGGACCCCAGATAACCGGGATCAGAATCAAAAGTAAGCCCTTTCTAAATTAACATTATCCAACATACGACATCTCAGCATCATCAGCAAGTCCAGTCCTCTCAGGGCCACATAACAATGCAGCATTTAATAAGTGGCATACCATAGGAACATTGGTTCTAAGCTGTCGTTCGAAGATGTAATCCAAAGGGAAACCGGTATTCCTTCGGGGTGCCGGAATGACTCCACGCTCCATGGCTACTCGATGTGGGCAAGTAATTGTAGTGTGCCCTTCAATTCCCAAAAGATAAAAGACACAACCAGAAAAACAAATACTGTTAGAAGAAGAAGATGTTTGTAGCTTGGACAGATAAACGCCATGGAAAATTGTCAATAACTAGAAATAGAAAAAAAAAAAAAAAAAGGTAGCTCTTTTCGCGGACATAATAAGAGAAACAGAATGACTGCACTAGTTTGTCGAAATCTTACCAGGCATTTTGCATAGGAAACAGGGTTTCATTGGGCAATCGATATAAGTGGCGCCCTTGAATCCTGCTTCATGTCCCGCTTTCTTACACACCTGAATCAAAACAACAAATATCGAGGCTAAAGAAAAGTGTAACAGAGATCACAAAAGGTAAACAATGAAAAAAAGTAAAGGAAAAAACAACAATTTCAAACCCTAGAGAGTAAACGAAAATGACGTACTTTGCAGACTTTCTTGAGACTGATAGTTATCGGGGCTTTCCCTTTATTCTTCGAATGCAAAGCATCCAAGCTCTTCTCTTCTACTTTTCCGCCATTCTCGTTGTCGGTAACATCTTCTTCATCCACCACTCCCGTTTCTTCCTCTTCTTCTTCTTCGGATGAACTTTCTTCTGTATCCGTATCCCTCTCTATAACTACTCTAGGAAACCTCGTCCTCCTTGTTTGCAGGGGCATTTCTTAAAAACTTCAGGGATTTGAGGAAGAATATAAAAGAAGATAAAACAGACTCTGAATCTGAGAGGCGTGAGTGTGAGATAAAGTGAGAAAGTAGCTGAATTGAATTTTCGCGGGAGACATAACAACGAACTTATAGTGGGTGTAAAGAATAAATCATGGATTACAGTGACTACCCTTATTAATAGACAAGGGAACAAATATAATACGGGATACATAAGGGTTATTTTAGATATTTCATCTTGACACATAGAACATGGCGCGAGATTTACGTGGCTTGTTAACTGCCACTGACTCCCCCTACCATCCGTCCTTTTTTTATTTCCTGGACTACAGAACGTAGCCCGGTCCAAACCCATAAACCCTTAAAGCTGGGACCCATCAGGTATGAAATGTGTGGTGTCGATGCTGGAACGGGTATTTCGTTGGTAGAGATCCCAACTCCCCTCAATCCTCGTGGCAGATTCAGGTCTCTTGAAAATCCAATTGAGCGAGTTAAGATCTCCTGCCATCAAACACGTTCCAACAATTTACCGACATCATCCGATACCACGCATCTTAACATGAGACTGGAACCGTGAGATTCGTCATAGAGGGTTGGAATGTATTTTGTGAGCAGGAGGAGATCTGGACTCTCAATTGAGCTGCGGTCACTTGATCTCCACTATGGTCATGTTACAGTCATGTGTGTCACATGAGCTTAATAGAGACTGATTACTGCTATTCATCTTCATGTTGGTTTTTATCCTTAATGCATTTATTAAAAAACAAGTCAATGCATTTTAATATGAGTCAAGCCGAATATTAAACTATTTGAATTCAGTTTTACATGTGACTCGTCTCAAAAGTTTATATATTCTAGTTCGGTTCAATTCAAACTCAATAATGAATATGATTCATATAAAAATTGATACATGTAAAAAATTATTTATTATTATATATATATATATATAAATCATTTTTTTATTATATAAAATTTTAAAAATATTAAATATAACCTTGATTAGGCTCATGAGTTGAGTTTCATACTATTTAAGCTTGACAAGCCTATATATTGAGTTCAAGCTTTGTTAAAAATTTATTAATTTTGACTGGGCCAATTGAATGGCTCATGAATAACTTGGACCACCCCTAATTAGTGCCATTCATGTTGGTTTTGTTGTTAATGCATTTGTTAAAAAAAAAAAGAAAGTTTAATTTAATGACAAAATATTAGGTTGCAAAGAATCCAATTATATCTGAATTCTTATTCGAAATTGATCCCATTAAGTTTAATTTAATCATACTTTATTTAATATCCCAATATAGGCCAAATCTATTATGCATCCTATGGATTGCAACATAATTGAATTAACCAATGATAAAGTGATACATCACATCATAGTAACATCTTTAACCTTGTTAAACTACTTATTGACAAATATACTTTGTGAAATATCAATCAATGAAAAATAAATAGATCATTTGATGTCTTTAATATTATTAATTAGTTGAAATTTTTATGTAAGGTGCTAAAAAAATTTTGAAATGCAAGATAATAAGACATTTTTTAGAGGATAAATTACTTAAATATACCTTGTATATATATCCTGTCAAGGGCCCCACTTGACACAACGAGGTTGCCTATTAGTGAAATATTATGGGATTGATGAATTTTCTTTAATGGTCAAAAATGCCCTTTACTGTTGTTTAATTTTCAAAGCATGCTCTTCAAAGTGTTCGATGAACCAACAAACAAACAAGACGGTACCCCATATATTCTTAAACTACTTCAAAAAAAGAATTTATCATCAAACAAACAAGCTTGAAATTTATCGACTTTCTAATTGACCGGGGGTCTGCTTCTTTTCTAATAATGAAGGAAGAAACCGCTTTGAGGGTTCTGATAGAGCAATAGAGGAAGGCAGCTAATGCAATAGTAGCAATCCGGCCAATGGAATGGAGATGAATGAGAGGGTAGCTAGTAAGGTGCATGCCAATTGGACTAGATTTTATCCAATCCAATCTGGTGCAATATGAATCCATGGATCAGGTCCAATCCAATCCAATGAAGACTTTGGACCATTTTGGATTAGTCCAATTCAATGTTTGGGCTGTTTAATTGTTCAAGACCTGTATTCTTATCTTTTATTAATTGACCAGATATTGGTTTCAATCCAACCCAAATCTATTACGAGTGGACCAGGTCCAATCCTATCCAATAAATACTTTCGGGCCATTAAATCTGAATTGGTTTAGTTCAATATGTCTTATTGGTCCATCCAATTCGTCCAAATTGATTTTGGTTTGGATGGGATTAACCCAAAACTGGTCCATTGACACCCCTAATGGCAAGAAAGTGAAGTTCAATAGAGATGCTTGACATGAAATAGGAAACCACAAGACTTGGATCTAAATTAGGGCTATCAATGGGTTTGGTCTCACCCAATGGACCTGAACCGATTAGGTTGGTTTTAGTTCTTAATCTATTGTTTTGATTATTATTGGTTCAAAATAGGTTCTAACTGCCTATATATACATACAAATATATATATATATATATATATATATATATATATATATAATTATTATTTTGATTATTATTGTTGCTGATGGAAATGGACCGAGGGCAACATTGTTAAATTGCTTCTAAGTCGAGGTGTGGTTGAGTAGTCCGAGGGCTGGTAGGCCAGTCCTGTGAGGAGCAAAGGAGAGAGACATCAGAGACCCTAGATTGGTACCTAAGGTGGAGACTCTGACAGTCAAGTTAGTTCGGGTGTGACACAAAGTGAATGAGGCTAAGGAATGAACACTCAGACGAGGCCATAAGGAAGATTAAGAGTTCTCAAGTCCAAGTCCTTGATTCTAGGGTCTAGATCCTAGATCCTTACCTTGAGAAGGTTGCCCCCTATTTATACATGAGGCGACCTATAGATAGGTGGGCACAGACGGCCAAGATGCGGTACAGCCTTGAGGGGTGTGGCCATCTGGGGTCGCCTCGTGCGCCTACATCATTGGTTTTGGACTACAGGTCGACCTCCGCTCTATGCACACCCTCATTGGGTCTGTCCTGTGCACTGCCGTCTTCCACATGCATACGTGCCATAGATCCGGATCATGTGCGCCTACATCATTTAACCCCTACTCTCGAGGCTGTGGTGGAGGTCTTAGTTGAGGACCTCAGCTTCGGTCGAAGAGTGTCACCCTTGTTGTGAGGCGCTGAGTGGCTTTCTTTGACAATGACCTCCGCTTCGGCTTTGGAGGTGCTAGGGATAGCCCATCTCGGGAGCGTGGAGACATCGGCTCTGGCTTAGGCTTCACTGGAGGTAGCCTGGTTCGTGAGCATGTGGATGTTGTCTCAAGGGGATTCCATTGTCTTAGTGGCAATTAATTCGCTAATTCCGTTTTTTGAGAGGGTTGTGGAGGGCTGAGTAGCGAAGGCATTAGACTCAACTTCAGAGAACTCGGTATCGTGTCTTGTGCAGCTACAAGGCGCATGTGCCCCTTAGTCGCGTGCTTCACGGATGAGCTGATGAGTCAGTGCATTGGTCAGGCATCGACCTTGGCCAGTCACTGTCATGCAAGGTATGCACATCGGGTTGTCATGTCGTGGCCATGAAGGAGACAAGCTTTGATGTCAGGTATTGTCCGTGCGTGAAATGGATGAAGAAGTATTTCTTCGTGTCCTACCGGGGGTTGGTCGTTTAGGCCAAATTGGGGAAGATCCAAACTGAGCTCCTAGTGGAGGAGGAAACTTTTGTGTGAGCTAGCCTCAGCTCCATTCGCCTCGGTACTCGGTAGGAGGGTCGTACTTCAAGAAATCCAAGCCGTTGAAGAAGACGCCGGGTGAGGACCGGTTTGGGAAACGGGCACCGAGGTGGGGAGGCACCGGATGAGAGGCCACCTCGGCTAGGAGGGCACTTCGGTCATATTGCCCATAAGGATGGCTGAGGTGAGTACTTGTTCTATTACTTAGAGTTCTTTGTTCTTGCCTTTCTTCTGTTGTGTTAGCCGAAGCAAAGAGCGATTAGGGGTCGATCGTTTTGGTCATGCGTGAGGAATGGGGGCTGAGGAAGGCTCTTGAGGCCGAGACCACGACTAGGAAGGAGTTGGTAAGGATCGAAAGACGCGCTAAAGGCAGTGGATGAAAGGCTCCAGGCGTCTGAGGTGATGAGGCTCCAAGCCAAGGAGGTGTACCCGCCAAAGGGTCACCCTGTCAGCGAGGCGGCCTGTGCCAGCCAAGGAGAACGCCAAGATCCGAAGGCCGACCTGAAGTATAATTTTTGCATACCTTGTGCCTTTTTGTGCTTGCACTCTTTTTTCTTTTTATGCGTGTAGGGGTCGATGCCCCCTTCCGAGAGGTCACAAGTTGCAAAAATCTATCGCTCACTAAGTCACTCATTCAAGAACTCAAGTGAACTAGGCCGAGGCCGAGCTTCACCGCCAAGGACACAGGACCCCTTTCCTTAGCGAGAAGGAAAGGGAAGTGGATGCATTAGCTCTCTTGGTGTTGTGGGGTGCCCTTGTCTTGGCGAGGTGGCATCGCTTTCTTTAGTGTGTTTGTTCTACCGTGACTCGTATTAAGCAGAGGGCCGATGCCGACTCTTTAGCCTGGATAAAAACTCGCTTGCTAGGAGGTCTTCCAAGGCCAAGGCCAATATCAACTGCCAGTGCGTTAACTGCGGCCGAGGTCCCTTGGATCCTTTGCTAAAAAAGGTGAACAGGCATGTAACCTTCTGCGGGTCATATGCCTTGGGCCGACGTCCAATACGAGGAGAACCTGGTGACTAGGTGTATGGCCTCTGAGGATCGTGCGCCTTGGATTGGCATCCAGCCCAAGCGTGTAAACTTGGTGAAGGTTGTATGCTACGTTCGGCTACTCAGTCGAGATAAGAACGTATACACTAAGGACTTGATACGAGGTGAGAGAAACTTGCTTGCTTCATTACAAAAATTTCCACTAAACTTGTTTACATTGTCGATCATACATTGCGAGGTCATTGGGGTTCCTAATGCGAGGCACAAGTGAGCATAATGTTGGAGAGCCGAGTGCTTCTCATTTCTTATGAGCCGCGGTCAGGGTTACATCCGTGGTCGAGCCCTTGGTGATGACACTTAC